GTTTTTTTCGGCCAAAAACGCCTTACTATACATGGTCGTTTTTTTCAGCCAAAAACGCCTAACTATACATGGTAGTTTTTTTTGGCCAAAAACGCCTTACTATACATGGTCGTTTTTTTTGGGCTGTAAAACCGCCTTACTATACATGGTGGCTTTTTTCAGCCAAAAACGCCTTACTATTCATGGTCATTTTTTTTCGGCCAAAAACGCCTTACTATACATGGTCGTTTTTTTTGGGCTGTAAAACCGCCTTACTATACATGGTGGTTTTTTTCAGCCAAAAACGCCTTACTTTTCATGGTCATTTTTTTCGGCTAAAAACGCCTTACTATACATGGTCGTTTTCTTTTCAGCCAAAAACGCCTTACTATTCATGGTCATTTTTTTTCGGCTAAAAATGCCTTCCTATACATGGTCATTTTTTTCGGCTAAAAACGCCTTACGATACATGGTCTTTTTTTTTCGGCCAAAAACGCCTTACTATACATGGCCGTGTTTTTTTTGGCCAAAAGTGCCTAACTATACATGGTCGTTTTTTTTCATGGTCTTTTTTTTTCGGCCAAAAACGCCTTACTATACATGGCCGTGTTTTTTTTGGCCAAAAGTGCCTAACTATACATGGTCGTTTTTTTTCATGGTCTTTTTTTTTCGGCCAAAAACGCCTTCCTAAACATGATCGTTATTTTCGGCCAAAAAACGCCTTACTATACACGGTCATTTTTTTCGGCCAGAAACGCCTTACTATACATGGTCGTTTTTTTTTAGGTTAAAAACGCCTTACGATACATGGTCGTTTTTTTTGGCCAAAAACGACTTACTATACATTGTCGTTTTTTTCGGCTAAAAACGCCTTACAATACACGGTGGTTTTTTTTTCGGCCAAAAGTGCCTTACTGTACCTGGTCGTTTTTTTTCATGGTCGTTTTTTTTCGGCCAAAAACGCCTTACTATACATGGTCGTTTTTTTTTTTTTGGGCCCAAAACACCTTACTAAACATGATCGTTATTTTCGGCCAAAAAACGCCTTACTATACACGGTCGTTTTTTTCGGCCAGAAACGCCTTCCTATACATGGTCGTTTTTTTTGGGCTGTAAAAACGCCTTACTATACATGGTCATTTTTGTTGTTGTTGTTGTTGTTGTGAAAAATGCCTTCCGATACTTAAAAAAAAAATACAAAAAAAGACTTACTATCCATGTGCTCACATTTTAAAAAAAACGGTCTTATATAGGGACAATGTAAAGAGTTCATGACCTGCCCGGTGGTCGAATGGTTAGTGCGTCGGCGTGGCGCTGTGGAGGTGCGGGGTTCGAATCCAGCTCCATCCTTCTTCTGTGTTCGTGAAAATGTGTGTGACCATGCATTTTCTGATCCTCTTTTCCACACAACTATTCAGGCTCACACTCACACCTTTGGACAATGTAAAATATTTGTTCATCACCTGACGGAGAATCAAGTCGTTCGTGTGTTGCCGTTGCTCTGCAGAGGTGCAAGGTTCGATTCCCTTAATGTTTTTTTTGGAAGGGGTGGGGGGGGGGGGATCGAAACGCCATGGTCGTTTTTTTTTCGGCCATAAAACGCCTTACAATACATGGTCGTTTTTTTTGGGCTGTAAAAACGCCTTACTATACATGGTCATTTTTGTTGTTGTTGTTGTTGTGAAAAATGCCTTCCGATACTTAAAAAAAATACAAAAAAAAGACTTACTATCATGCGCTCACATTTTTAAAAAAACGGTCTTATATAGGGACAATGTAAAGAGTTCATGACTTGCCCAGTGGTCGAATGGTTAGTGCGTCGACGTGGCGCTGTGGAGGTGCGGGGTTCGAATCCAGCTCCATCCTTCTTCTGTGTTCGTGAAAATGTGTGTGACCATGCATTTTCTGATCCTCTTTTCCACACAACTATTCAGGCTCACACTCACACCGATGGACAATGTAAAATATTTGTTCATCACCTGATGGAGAATCGAGTGGTTCGTGCGTTGCCGTTGCACTGCAGAGGTGCAAGGTTCGATTCCCTGATGTTTTTTTTTTGGGGGGTGGGGGGTAAAAACGCCATGGTCGTTTTTTTCGAATAAAAACGCCTTACAATACATGGTCGTTTTTTTTCGGCCAAAAACGCCTTACAATAAATACATGGTCGTTTTTTTTCGACCAAAAACGCCTCACTATACATGGTCGTTTTTGGCCTTACTATACATGGTAGTTTTTTTCGGCCAAAAACGGCTTACTATACATGGTCGTTTTTTTCGGC